GTAAGGGAGAATTGCAGGGAAGGAAGGGTGTTTAACCCCTCCTGCACCTGCTCACATTCTGCTGCTAATGTGGACTACTTCCCACAGTCATTTTTTACCCATGAAATGCAGCCTGAGATCCTTTTGCATGGAAGAATCAGTGGCTAGCCCGATCTCGTCAGATCTCGGAAACTAAGCAGGGTCGGCCCTGGCTAGTATTTGGATGGGTGATCTCCAGGGAATACCAGGAGCTTGACTCAGAGGCAGGCAATGGCAAACCAACTCTGGAACATCTCTTGCCTTAAAAACAAGCCTAGCGCACCACCTAGTGGTGTATAACACTAAAAGAGCTAGATCTTCTGTCTGCCAGACAATCTTAGGATCTCCTGGCTATACCACACAAACTGCCATACGATAATTATTAATTATTAGTGGATGGAAGTCTAAACACTGAATTGGGAAGATCACACAAACCCACAACACATTCCTCTTCTTCTAAACCATTCTTTCATTATCACCATCTTTGTAAGGTGGATCAGTACCATACATTGCAGGTGAAAGGTTGAAGCTAAAGGTACACAGATTACCTAAGGCCATCTAGTGAGTTCATGATGATGAACCTGCTAAGAAATGCTATGTCCCGAGTGGTGTTGGTGCCCTTGGGACTATAATGAAGTGGCTGTGACGCTTCAAGATGACTTGACAAAAACTGTGGCTACAGCCCCTTTATCTGAATAAATAGAGTGCATTTAGAGGTAGTGTAGACCACAACTGCATGCCATATGTTGGAGATGCTGATGTACCATAACCAGACTTGCATGGCTTTGACCAGCTGGTGTAGATTTCTATATGTTCCTCTACAGGTTAAGTGATTACAAATTTTAAAACTGTCATACCCTAAAACAGGCCTGTAGAAGGAGGCAGTCCTTTCTGACACCACAAAATAACAACTATTGCAAGCAGTTAGCTTAGCTTTGCACCGTTGTCAGGGTTATGCCCTTCATGCTGCCAGACATGGTTGCTTCATGCCACCATTTGTATGAACTTCAGTGGCCTGCCGTAGCGGGCCATGATTGACTCTCTTAGTGCCATCTCTAAATCTCCACCTTTCAGATTGGTTTTAGAGAACTAATTGTAGCTTCGGATGATCAGACTACACATAATTCTGGAGTTCCCCCAGACTTTATGCTTTGCTCTAGGAATCAGCAGTGGAGGAGTAAGAATTTAGGGACAAGATACTGGAGAGGAGGGTGTTAAGTCTCTCCCCTGCATTGTTTCTGTGACCAAAAATACTAAGACTTTATGCTTTGCTCTAGGAATCAGCAGTGGAGGAGTAAGAATTTAGAGACAAGATACTGGAGAGGAGGGTGTTAAGTCTCTCCCCTGCATTGTTTCTGTGACCAAAAATACTATTTCCTCCAGG